GCACTAGGCAGCCTTTTTCTCTTCAGACCCCCCACCCCAGCTCAGTGGATAACCAACAACGGAGAAGCCGAGGCTCGCCGAGATTAAGGAATTGTCAGAATGTTCATAGCTGCATGAGTACCAACACTAGACCTGAGTTTTGGTTCAATTCAAAAGATGTGGACATCAGCTGTGGCTTTCCAGCAGAATCATGTGGGAGCTTACAGAACCCTTGATGCCTAGGCTGTGTCTCAGAACAACTAAACCAGAATCTCTTAAGGGTCTGATGGAAGAACCAGATTTTCTGATTCTTAAAGTTCCTTGGTGAATCAAATGTATATCTAAGGTTGAGAACCATGATGCAAATTCTAGGCCATTAGCCATGACTTTATAATGAAGGACAGGGAGCACTGCATCCTGGGAGCACCCTAGAGTAGACTGTGATTGGATATTGTCTTGCAAGTTAGAGTGTGACATTCTAGAGTGTATTTGGGGGCCCTTTCCTTCTCTTCGTGTTTGCTAAATTCCTACTGTGTGCCAGACTCTGGTGGTATAAAGGGAGCAAATTCTGGCCACGCTTCCAGTAAGCATGGTGTCTCGTGTAGGGCATGGGACTAAGGGGGAAACTGAAAAACTGATATGTTCCCTGAAAGGGGAAGGAAGTTCAGGGTGGCAAAGAACACACAGTGAAACCAGCAAAGGCTACTGAAACAGGTGGCATCTGAGTGAATAAATGGGAAGGAGAGCATGCTGGCCCAGGGACAGAGGACCACAGGGCAAAGAGGCAGTAGGAGCATGAGTGGCAGCTGCCAGCACCTTAAACAATGTATGAAGCAGAGAGCGGAGGGCGATGAGACCAAAGGCGGGTAGATGATGGGTGACTCTGACAGCCGACTAGGAGGCTATCTTATCCTGTAAGAGGAATTGAGTGTCTTGAAGTCTTAAACAGAAAGTGATATGACTGAGGGTGCTGATGGGGAAGAGAAATTCAGGGGAAAATTTTTAAAAAGGTAAAAAATACACAAGCAGTGTTCTACCCTATATTCTGCTGGAACCTAGCATCCTATCCCAAAGCATGTGGATAAAGGAACATAGCTCTTAACCTGACAGCTTATTGGACAGACCAATAAAAACTGACTTGAGTCTGGCTGGTAATAGCAAATTCTGTTCTTCCTTGGCCAAGCAAGATAAAGGTTTGATACTCAAAATGTACTGATAAGATGTAGTGAGTCTCTCATTAGATGCTGAAAAAGCTTTCAACAAAATATAAAATCCCTTCATGATAAGGTCTTGAAGAAAGCAGAGCTACAAGGAACATACCTAAACATAATAAAGGCAATATACAGCAAGCCAACAGCCAACATCAAACTAAATGGAGAGAAATCCCAGCGATCTCACTAAAATCAGAAAAATGACAAGGTTGTCCACTCTCTCCATATCTATTCAATATAGTTCTTGAGGTCCTAGATAGAGCAATAATACACCAAAAGGAGATCAAGGGGATACAAATTGGAAAAGAAGAAGTCAAACTCTCACTGTTTGCTCATGATATAATAGTTTACATAAGTGACCCCAAAAATTCTAACAAGGAACTTCTGCAACTCATAAACACTTTCAGTAATGTAGCAGGATACAAGATTCACTAAAAGAAATCAGTATTTCTTTTATGAACAGATGATAAATGGGCTGAAAAAGAAATCAGAGAAGCATCATCCTTCACAAAGGCCACAAATAGCATAAAATATCTTGGAATAACTCTAACCAAACAACTGGAAGACTTGTATAACAAGAACTTTAAATCTTTGAAGAAAGAAATGGAAGAAGACATGAGGAAATGAAAATATCTCCCATGTTCTTGGGTAGGTAGAATTAACATAGTAAAAATGGCAATCTTACCAAAAGCATTCCCATCAAAATCCCGCAAAATTCTTCATAGATCTCCAAAGAATGGTAATCAGCTTCATATGGAAAAGCGAAAAACGCAGGATAGCCAAAACAATCCTATACAATAAAAGAATTTCTGGAGGCATCACAATCCCTGACTTCAAACTCTACTACAAAGATACAGTACTGAAAACAGCCTGGTATTGGTATAAAAACAGACAAGAGAAACAAATTGAAGACCCGGACAACAATGAGGACCCTAAGAGAGACATACATGGATCTAATCTACATGAGGAGTAGAAAAAGACAAGATCTCCTGAGTAAATTGAGACCATGGGGACCTTAGGAGAGGGTTGAAGGGGAGAGGAGTGATAGGGAGGGGAACAGAGAAAAATGTAGAGCTCAATAAAAATCAGAAAAACAAACAAACAAACAAAAAACCACGATGTAGTGGTTCTCATGAGGTGGGACCTTGTAGGGGGTTCAAGTTATGAGGTTGAAGAATCTTTGCAGGACACTTGTCCAAACCATAGCCATCACAACACCCCTGAAACTTCAGGGGTGCAAACTTTTGTGTGTTTCTTGGAGGGGGTCTGTAGTTTTCAGTCTGTTCTCAAAGACACTTAGAATCCAAAGACTAAGAATTAAATCCAAATATTCTAGGTAGCATGGTCTATTTTTTATGCTGATCTGATCCTCAGTGGGCTAAAGACTCAAATGGATTTACATATTATTAAATGAGACAGTTATGGGCTACCTGACCCCTCAGAGTCCGTGTGTGTGCGTGTACGCACACACACACAGAGAGAAAGAGAGAGAGAGAGAGAGAGAGAGAGAGAGAGAGAGAGAGAGAGGGAGAGAGAGAGAGAGAACCTTGTACAGACTCATCCCTGATGAGGAAGCACACACAGGGCATTCTCTAGGACTACAGCTATAACTCTGAGGAAGACAAGTTGACCCAATCAAAGGCACCAGCACTGCCCTGGGGCATTCTAATAACAGCACCAGCTGCTGGGGTGACTGGCATGGCTGTGAGGGAGCAGAAGGCTTCGATCTTTGCTAGTTCTGAGGCCAGGTGGCCAGTTGAGAAGAGGCCAAGTTATCTGCCTCCGCCGGCGTTTGCTGCTGCAGCTCCACATAGAAACAAGCAAACACTCGCTGCCCACCTTGCCATGATTTGTGTTGACAGTTGCTTCATAAAGCAGGTGGTCAGAAAAGGTTCTCCCAGCAGGAGAAGGCTGTGTCTGCTACTTCATGACCTGCTCTTCTGCATTAATGATCTTCGCCCAGTGCTATTGCTGCCCCTCCCGAAGAAGCCACATTAGAGAAGTTAATTCGTTGATGGGGGAGGATGATAGGTTTGGAGCAGTGTCCCAGATGGGGGAGTGTACACATTCTGAACGTGACCTCTGATTACTAAGAGATTATTGCCATAGTTAGCTTTATGTTTGTGTGATGGACTAATTGAGATAGTTAGCTCAGAAAGAGAAGACATAAACTCAGTTCTTAGTTTTAAATTTCCAACCCAAGATTGGGTGGACCCAGCACTTTGGGCCTTGGGTGGGGATATTAAATGGTAAAGGTGGGGATGTGTGGAACAGAAAACTGCACACATTATTAGCCAGGAAACAAAGAAATACAGAAAGGAGGCGAAGAATCTCCCACAAGGCCACATCTCCTAAAGGTTCTGCCAGTCCTCAGTAGTGCCACACTGGGTACCAAGTACTTTGGGTACTAAAGAAAAGGCAGTGTATAAACAGGTGACATCACCACCGCTCATTAGTACTTACACTGAATTATACCCTCCTCCCCATTTCTTAGAGCATAGAGTCCTGGCATCTACCCACAAGGTTTGCAAGAAAGGTCTTAGGCATTCCTCTTCATCTGTAGAAATCTCCAGAGAAACAGAATGAACAGGATGGAGGTATGTAGAAAGACATTCCTAAGAAGCGTTGGCTCACAGACTTAGGGATGCTGAGGGGCACTGCAGTTTGCTGCCCGTGAATGGGGAGTCCAGGATGTGTAGTTTTAGCTCAAACCTGGAGGCTTGAGAATCTGAGGGAGCCCATGGTAAACAGCCAGACTTGAAGGCCCGTGAGTAGGGGAGCTAACGTGTTATGTTCTGATCTGAGTTTCTAGAAACAAGAACTGGGTTTTGCACCTCCAGAAGTGGAAGGTGGATGTTCCCGCTGCAGCAGCAAGTGTCCTTGCTCTGTTCTTCTGTTGTATTCAGTGATACCATGAGGCACTCCCCTTCCCTTCTGACACACTTGGGGATGCACCCGATGCTTTCCCAACTGTGTGGGCATCATGTAGCCCAGTGAAATGGACATAAAACTAACTCTCTTCCTTTAGTCGGGAATCTCTCCCTTTTCTCATTACATACTCAATTTCTACAAGATGACACTGAGCTAAAGTCTCCACTAGAAAATAAAAAAAAAATTAAAATAAAGCAAGAAGACAGGACCAACCCAAGAACTGCCCAGGAAGCCTATCGAAGAAACCCAAATAAATGGTGCCAGAGAACCCAGGTCTCTAGCTCCAAGTGTTGATGTGATGGGAGAATGGAGAGACATCTCCATCCCCCTGCGGTGGGACAGGTTACCCTAGAAAGCACTACAATAGTCCTCCTGGGCTCCATCCGCCTGTGGTGGGACAGGTCACCCTAGAAAGCTCTACAACAGTCCTCCTGGGCTCCGTGCCCCAGTGAGGACTCTTGCTCTGTGCATGTAAAGTTTCAGTCAGTGCAAAGTTGGCAGAAATATGGGGCCACACATGCGTGTCACAGTGTTGCTGCTCACCGGGTTAAGGTGACCTTTTTGCCCCTGGAAATTAACAGATTGCTCTGATTCCAAATAAGAAGTCTGGTTTAGAACACAGAAAAGGGAACTTGGAGAGAGAACAGGTGATATGGAAAGTTGAGGACCACCTAACCGAATCCATTAAAAAATGGAGACTCTGCTGTGGCCACTAAAAGTGGGTCGGTATCTCTACCTGCTCTTTTTGATGATTTGTTTCACACAGTTTTACGAATGGATTTGCAACTCTATGCCTGGACTAAATACCTGGACTTTTGGGAACGACACATTTTTTTTTTTGTGGAAAACGTTAGCATTTAATTGGCCTCTAGAGTGGCTTCAAGCCACCAGAACACAGGCACCTCCAACACCCTTTATCTCCTCTTCAGCTCTTTTGCTGAAAAATTTGGCTTTCACGATGACAGGCTGCTGAGGGAGCTTTCCCTTGCCCAGAACTTTGCAGTAGCCCGATCGCACGACGTCAATGATGGGAGCAACTCCAGTCTTGTTCTTGGCTGCGTTAATCCGGGTCTGCTCACCGACCCACGTCCACAGTTTATCCAGGCTGACAGTCGGGCAGAAGCTCTGGTTCCTCTTTAAGTGGTAATGCCTCATACCAACTTTCCCGAAGTAACCTGGATGGTATTTGTCGAAGTTGATCCTATGATGATGCATGCCTCCAGCGTTCCCGCGTCCTCCTGGATGCTTGCGATGTTTACCATGGCTCACGTGGCCCCGGAGTTTCCGGGTCTTCCTCAGTCTGGATGGCATGGCGGTGGCAGAAAGGAAAGAGGGAGGAACCCGCGAAGTATCACGAGGTAGCAAGTGTGGGGGCTGGAGACGACACATTTGAAGTGACATTCAGTTATTAGTTTGACCCAATATCAGGGTAGAGTCTGCCTTAGAAATAAGCACACATCCCTTGGTCCCCTTCATCAAACCCTCGCCCTTGGGTTCCAAACATCGCCCACATCCCTTTCCAGCATCACCCCCTCCACACACAACTGTGAGCCCTCGGCCTGCTGTGTGCAGACACTTCATCTCAGCTTCCCGCATGCCCATTCCCTCTTGCTCATGGGCAAACTCTAAATCGCTCTTCCAAACACAGCGAATATCCCTCCTCACAGCTTGGCCCTCCCAGCCACTTGCTCTTTCTTCTTCACCTGCAATATGAAACTTCGTTGAACTGGTTTCTGCTTCTTTCTTGTTCCTCAAACTCCTTAAACTACTGAGGCATGTTTTTCTTATCTTCACATCCCGGCAGGTGTCACAGGGCTAGACCCACAGTAGGTGCGCAATAAACATCTTAAAACAAGCACATGTCTTGATGAGACCTCTGATAGTTCTAAAATTGAATTTTCTATGACATAGAAATATAGTTAAAAAACAAGGTCACTATTCGGAGAGACCGTCAAGTAGCCTATTGTAATAAAAGGCCTAGACTGTGTTACAATTTTCAAGGAGCTAGTTCATAGATGTTTAGCATTACTCAAGCAACTCTGGCAATTTCCTGTGAGATCTGCGACCTTCCCACACAATTCAGGAGAGAGGAATGAAGGCCGGTGGTTGTCATCAACCTTTCGTGCTGATCTGACAGAAAGACTGACAGGAGCTGCTTAAGGGAGGAAAAGGTTGTTTGAGCTCTTGGTTTCAGAGGGATTTTAGGCTGTCCCTGCAGAGAAGGCAGGTGGAACGGCTCCGGTGGTGGAGCGTGAGGCGACAGCTTGCTCACATGGAAGCCAACTGGACGCAGAGAAATCAGTCTTCCCTCCTGGTGGGTAAGACCTCGAAAGACCTGATACAGTCTTCTAAAGAGCAGGCAAGCATCGAACTGAGCACTCGAAACACCAGCCTGTGAGGATGCTTCTGATTTGAACTGTAGCTGTGATCACTAACTACTGCCAATGTTGGGCACGCAGAGGCTGGGATCGGGCTGATGAAGGTGGAAGAGCGGGGGATGGTGAGCCGCAGATGACGCTGAGCCGCGGAGGACGGTGAGTCCCAGAGTACGGTGAGCCGCAGAGGACGGTGAGCCGCGGAGGACGGTGAGCCGCGGAGGACGGTGGTGAGCCACGGAGGACGGTGAGCCGCGGAGGGTGGTGAGTCCCAGAGGACGGTGAGCCGCGGAGGACAGTGAGCCGCGGAGGGTGGTGAGTCCCAGAGGACAGTGAGCCGCGGAGGACGGTGGTGAGCCACGGAGGACGGTGAGCCATAGGTGACAACGGTGAGCTGCTGGTGACGGTGAGCCACGTAGTTGAAAGGAAAAGGAATAAAGAAGCCTTGTGTGCTGTTGCTACCATGCCAGTCAGCAAACACCCTGTGTTCTTGGCCTTCCCATCCTCCTTTAGCCTTTCTCTGCTTGTTTCTTTTCAGTTTGCCCGTTAGAAGAATGTGGTTTCTCATGACTATTTCTGTGGGTGGGAACACTGTTGGTCTTGAGGAACTAATGGCAGGTGCTGCTTGTGATGAAACTTGATCCCATAGCTTACAGCTCTAGAAAAATCAGAGGAATCAAGAATACCAAATTTTCACTCTTACAAGTCACTCTTTCCAAAAATAAATGTTAGCTAATATGAGTTCTGCAGACCTGAATTCTCCTGGGAACCTTTGAGTGGGCTTTGTCAGCTGATCTGCAGATCTGGTGGCCCTACCAGATACATTCCCCCACTGGTGGCTGTATCAAATACTCCATTTGGTGGCCATTTAAGATATCCCCCACCTGGTGGTCATACCAGATACCTCCTACTCAGTGGCTATATCAGATAACCCCCACTTGGTAGCTGGAGATAGGATTTCCTCTCTTGCTCACGGGTGAAGTAGAGGCAATTCCAGGGCTGGCTCAGTGGGTCCACTGTGTCAGGGATCTAAGTGTCCCTAATCTTGCTGCTCTGCCGTCATTGGATGTCCCTCTTTCGTGTCGTTCTCTGTGGCGGATACCATATTCCAGGTGAGGGGGTATGGAAGGGCAAGTGGTATTTTGTCTCTTCCCTTTTATTTAACGTCTAACAGTTGCATATACCACTGCTGATCACCTCAGGTTAACCAGAACCTAACCATATGACTACACACTGTTTAACAAGCAGACATTTGGCCTGGGGAGATGGCTCAGTGGGTAAAGCAATTGCCTTCTAAACATGAGGACCTGAGTTCAAATCACTGAGTGCACATAAAAAGCCAGATGTAGTGACAGGTGTTGTAAGCCCAATGGTTGGGGTAGCGTAGAGAAAAAAAGATCCTAGGGGCTCCCCAGCCAGGTAGCCTAGCCTCATCAACAAGCCCCAAGCTCTGGAAGAGACCTTGTTTCAGACAGACACCGAGGTGGATGGCCCCTGAGGAAACATGCCGATGTGAACACTTGCTCCTTTCTTCTGAGAGGGATTTTAGTACTATGGAAGAGAGAGAGAGAGAGAGAGAGAGAGAGAGAGAGAGAGAGAGAGAGA